CAGAAAATTCCATCAGAAAAGTTGTCTCATTGTCTTCCATCAGAAAGCCGCTAGAAAGCTACCAAAAAATTAATCACCGGTAATAAGTGATTTTCTTGTAGTGGTTTACATAACCGGGTCGGGTTAGGGTTGACCCATTTAAACCCGGGTTAGTTCTGGGTTCGTCACGAACTCGACCCAAAACCCAATTTTGAACCCCTACATGTAATTAGGAGTTTTATACTTTTTAGGGGAGGGGACAATTACCCCTGTGTGCAATAGAGGGATCTGCCCCAATTAGAAAGCCATTTTTTATGGAAACCAATTTGCACTTGGGATATATATTCGTATTGTACTAATTAGAAAAAATCATAGAAATTATTTGTTAGCATTTTAGGAGTAATTCATGTAATGACTCTTCAAGTACATGCATGTTTTCTATTAGTCCACAAATATAATTCAAATAATTCAAAAAATAATTGAATTAATTCTTTCAAATGAAATTCTAGGGCATGACAATTAAAACAAGCGGAATTAAAACTATTTATAAGAAAATAAAACTATTATAAAATATTATCAAAGTAAATTCTAGAGAAAATAAAACTATTGATAAAAGAAATTAGATAGCTCTGGTTATTTTTTATTAAAATATAAATGATTAATTTTTTCAAATTAAATTCTAGGGCATGACTATTGGTATGAGATCATAGTTATTTGAAGAATTTATTTGTTATCATATCTGTAGGATATGATTGAGAGTTGGGTTGAATGGGTAGATTAAGATGTGTTATTTTGCATACATAATAGATTGCATGTTTGAATTATTGTGATCAAACAAAATTTTACAAAAGTGAACAACTGTAATGGATATACTTGAGCAAGATATATTGAATGAGCAACACTGTTCAGCTCTAGTACCACCACATAATGTTATGCACTTGGTCACTCTTATAGCAAATGTAATGGGGCACCACATGTTTGATCATAAATTTTTAACAAACTTAATCATAGTATATTAATTAATCACTAACTACATTATTATACTCATATTCATATGCTTTTCAATTGAAAAATATTTAGATTTGGTCATTCTATTTTGGAAAGTAAAGTTTTAGTATAGTCATGCATTTTTTTTTTTTTTTTGCTATATTAATCTAAGTATGCTCTTTTTGTTGGACCTTTCAATTTGGTCATGCATTTTTTTACCAATTCTACCCTTAGTTTAGGTATGCATTTATAGCACTACAAGAAATTCATGAATTTCTGGTGGTCTGGATCGGCGATTATGTAACCGCCATTATTAACAGCAGTTTAACCGGTGGTGTTTACTGGCAATTTAACCGACGATTATTTAACTTTCCGCCGCCAAAATTAGCGGCGATCAAATAACCGTCGGGTAGTATGCCGGTATTATTTCTTACCGGTGTGTTACTGGCAGTTCAAACCGTCGGTGTTAGATGAATTTTTTTGGCTGTCAAAATCGCTTGAAAGCTGCCAGAAACGGCCCTAAATTTAGCCCTCCCCAGCCTTCCATTTCATTTACTCGCATCCACCTCTCTCTCCCTACAAACAGTCGCCCCCGTCTCCTCCTCCTCTCTCTCTGGACACCGACAAGCTCCCTCCGACTGAAGATCTTTCCCCCACTCAAGCATCAAAGCACGACCGAAGATCTCACCCCCAATCCTGCGCGAAACCGGCATCCGAGTTCAAATCATAACTGTAGGTTTGCGTTTTTTTTTTTTTTTTTTTTTTTTTAGTTTCAAGTTGTTTGTGATTTTTCAAATATCAAGAGGAATTGGGTTAGAGAGTTAATGGGGATTAAATGGTGTTCATATTTTAATAGCCTCTTAATCACATAAACATTAACTTTGACCACCATTTCGGAAGGAGGCAATGCAGAAATCAAAATATTTGTTGAGATCAAAAGATAGTTTTTGATTATTTTAATATGATAATTTTGATTATTGATTAGGAGATAGTTTTGATCATTTTATGATCCTAGTGGAGTTGAAGAAAGTGTAAGCTAGAGGGTTGCAGTGCTGACAAGAGAGATAGAAGAGATGAGAAAGGTTCAAAATGAGATGCAGGTAGGGCTGCGATCCTATAGAGATGAAAATCAAAAGTAGAAAGAGCAAGAGCAAGAGCAGCCACATGCATCACCAAACAACGAGGACACGGAGGAGGATTAGTACTCTTATTTGTTTGATTAACTTATGATAAACTTATGTGTGAAATTATTTGGTTTAAACATTTGGTTTGATGAACTTGTTGTGTTAAAGCGAAGACTATATTTGTTTGGTTATGAACTTATTATGAATTTATTTGTTTTGATGAATATATTTGTGATAATTGTTATGATTGATTATAGTGGCGTGTTGCCCATATTTGTAATAATTGTTGTATTTTATATGCAGGTTTAGAGTTTAAGGTGAAAATCAATAAAATAGAGGAGAGGCTGTCAATTTTTTTTCCAAATGCTATAGGTATTCGGCGGCCAACAGGCTGTTTGACTATCTGAAACATCGATATCGGACGACTAATCATAGCTGTCGGAAGTTCACTATAACCGCCGGTAATTATCGGTGGTTTGTCAACGGTTTCTATCGATTCTCCGGTGATAAGATGGTGGTTGAGCTACCAGTAATTCCTTCGGTTATGATCACCGATAAATTGTTGGTAATTGACTGACGGTTTATAGACGATCGCCGCTATTAGAATGACGATAATCTGACGATTTGGCCGCCAGAAAAATATGGCCAAATCGGTGGTTAAACAGCCGGTATACCGCAGATAAATAATCAGCGGTCACTGCATTATGACCCGAAAACCACAGGCGGTATGGACCGCCGGAAGGCTGCCAGTGCGCAAAATCATTGGAAAAAGACCGAAGAATACCTTTTTCTACGTGGTTTTTACTGGCTATTTTTAAACCGTCAAAAAGCCGCCGGTTTTTTACAAAATCTTTGGAAAGCATATAATAACTGCTGGAACAAACCGCCGGTAATGAGTGATTTTACTACAGTGTAGTTAGGATTAAATTTAGCTTATATAAGTATTTCTATTATGTCATTCAATAATAGAGTCATTCCCTATTGGTCTTATGAACCTTAACTTGGTTCCTTTATATTAGCACCTTTTTAGACTATGTTATCCTCATTCGATTAAGTTTTGTTTAGATTTAGTCATGCACTTTTGATCGTTTCCAATGCAAGTAGACCATCTCCATTCATAATTTTCCAACATTCAAATATTTGATGCTCTCTCTATGCTTTTAAAATATTTCTATTTTTTCATATGTTTGCACCAAATTTAATCACTTTTTTAGGGGAAACCCACGGAGGGGCATACGCGTTGATATAATTCAAAATTATAAGTCCTTAAGGGGACATTAAGCTCACTAATGCTCGAAAGAGCTACAAAATATAAAGAAAAGAAAAAACCTAAGAGTCAATTGTCCCCAACTAAAGCATTTACAAAATTGCCTAGATACAATCTAAGGAGACGCCGAAACAGCATCCAAAAAAGAAAGAGCCTATAATAAGCATTCAGAGCAGATTTTCTTCAAAAATGAACCTTGAAAGCCAAAAAGAACCTGCAAAGAAAAAAAGAGACAATACCAAAAATATAAACTACAAGACAACAAACCAAGTTAATCGAAACTAAAGATAAAAGACAAAGTAACTTATAACCCATACCAGTGTTAAAGTTCAGCCAAGAGTCCCAAGTAGTACTAATCTAGATATAGCTATCAAACTTAACACCAACGGTCAAATATAATTTCATGCTAGGACATAATAAGAAATAATTTTGGTAATAAAAAATAGCTAACATAATAGTAGAGATAACGAACCACAAATTCCAACACCAATAAGTAAAGCTCAACATAAGATTAAAAACCCCAAAAAAAAACCCATAGCCAGGGGCGAAACCAGCCTTAATTCTTGGGGGGGGGGGCAAAATTATAAAAAGATAAAAAATATATATTTATAACAAAATTCAAATCAGATATTATATTGCAATAAAAATTACAAGCTTTGTATTCTATTTTGCATCTTCTGATAATGTTGCATTACAACTTCATTTGGAACCAAATCAAATACTTATTTCTCAATATATGGCACTAGACAGTCATTGAGCCAATCATCACCCATTTTACTGCGTAATCTATGTTTAACAATTTTCATTGCTGAAAATGCTTTCTCCACTATAGCAGTGGCAACGGGTAGAGTTAATGCTAAAACAAGAAGCCAATGAACTAAGGGGTACACAATATTTTTAAGCTTAACAAATTGTTTTGCAAGATCAGCAATGCTCTCCAAAGATGAGAACTCCTCGCTTGTACTCATATCAAGAATGTATGTCGATAGCTGGTGCTCTAAAGCCATAAGTTCAACAATAGAAAAATCAGCTGAATATAATTCTGCAAGCCGAATTAACTTCTCTTTATTATAAGCAGAGAATGAGTCACTTGGATTTAGACATGATATGCAAAGAAGCAATTCAGTTCTAGCTTCAGATAATCTATTATTCAGCTCTTGAAGTTGCATATCAATAATTGTGTAAAAGAATTCCACACGATAATGATGTAAATTTGAAACATCATCATTTATGCGTGTTGATCGTCGACGGGCTTTGAATGTAGAACTCATAATAGGAACAACTTTAAAAACATTACAAAAACGAGATACTTCTTCCAATAAGGAATTCCATCCATTATCCCTCATCATTTGTAATTGTTTTTTAGAGATTTGTACTAACTTCATTGCATTCACTATATCATGATCTTTTCTCTGCAAGGCCTGTGATAACTCATTGGTGACACCTAAAATATCAATCATTAAATGCAGAGAAAGGATAAAATCAAAAGATTCCATGGCATCTATTAGAACACCAGCTTCAACAGCTTGTTGATCATGTACCCCATCTTCTTTGATAATTTCAAGAACTTCAATTACTGACGCATACATTTTTTTCAAGCTAATTAATCTATGAAAATGTGAACCCCAACGGGTGTCACCAGCTCATTGTAAGCTTGTCTCTTGGTTCAATCCTCTACCACTGCTCAACTCCCCTTTAGATAAATGAAATAATATTTTATCATGTTGAATTGTTCTAAGAGCATCACTCCTCATATATGAAGCTCCAACAGTATTGACAATCCTTGAAGTGATCTCAAAAATATGCTTTGCATACCAATGGTTTTTAGCTACAGCAACTAAGCATAGTTGAAGCTGATGAGCAAAGCAATGAACATAGAATGCATGGGGGTTATCATTAAGTATTAAGGCCTTCAAACCATGAAACTCCCCACGCATATTAGATGCTACGTCATATCTTTGACCTCGAATTCTATGTATGCTCAATGAGTGTTTAGCAAGTATATCTTCTATAGCTGCTTTTAAGGAAATTGCATTAGTCGATGTGACATGTTTAATGCCAATAAACCTTTCAACAACTTGCCCTAAATTATCCACATATCTCACTGCAATAGCTAGTTGTTCCTTCGTGGAAACATCACGAGATTCATCAACCAAAACGGCATAGTAAGAGTCACCAATATCTTTCATGATTGATATCAAAGTTTCTGCAACTGTAGCTGAACAAATTTCTTTCTGAACCTTCGGTGAAGATAACTTCAAATTTGAGCTTGAATGTATGGATAAAACTTTCTTAATTTTATCATTATGATTTGCAAGGAAATCAAGAAGCTCTAAATAATTCCCTCGATTCGTTGATCTGGATGACTCATCATGCCCACGAAATGATAATCCTTGATGTAATAAAAATCGAACACAATCAACTGCAGTAGTTAACATGATCCTATAATCTTTTTTGTTCTTTTCCTCCTTGCTCAACCATAATACTGGGAGTTTGTGTTCATTACTCTTCAACAAATCTTCACATTTTTGTCTTGCCTTGTTATGCTCACTACTATGCTCTCCAACATGAATAAGTAGTTTTTCTTTCTTCTTCCAATTTTAGAATCCTTCCCGAACAAATGAGTCTCCACCAGCTTGGCCCTTCCTAATTTGTTCTTGGGGCTTGAATAGATAGCAGTAAAGGCAAAAAATAGCATCTTTTTGTATGTTATACTCTAACCAATCAGCATATTCTTCAAACCATTTAGGGTTAAACCGGCAAGCAATATTCCCTATTAATGTTTGGGGGAATTGATGACTTCTCGGTTGATGAGGTCCTTTTAAAAGATAAGTTCTTCAAATTTTGTCCCTATCATTCATATCATAACTCCATATTGAAGGTCAAAGTCCGGGATCAGCCGGGAGATCATTTAGTAAACCTCTACACGTTCATTCCTCTTTAAATAGCGTTCCATCTATTAAGTCATATAAATGTATTTAGGATCAAATTGAAAAATTAATTAATTAAGTATACATTATTATAAAAAGGAATGATAAGGAAATCAATAATTTGAATATATAATATAAGTTCAGGATCATCCCGTGATGGAAACCTCTTAAGACAAGTGCAATGGAAATGCTTCAAGCATGGCAAGTCTCGTCCAAAAAATTCTCAAAATTTAATTGAACAACTCATCAATAACATACATTATGGAAGCCAATTTCTTCAAGAAATCATATTTTTTTATACAATCGCTTTTATTTTTTCAAGAACAATGTTGATGCTTTTGAGCTGATCTCTTATGGGCATAGCAAAACCATGGAGGTAAAAAATTAAATTAAATTAACTCATGTTCCCATTTGTAAGCCAGCTTATGCTTGCCAAAACTCGTTGAAATTCTGAATCTGTTTATAATAACTAATTAACTATATATAATATCTAAAAGGAAATTTACTAGTTCAAAGGAGTTACAGAGATTCAGCTTTTTGATAACCAGAAGAAAGAACCCTAAAAGCACAAGCAGGTGAAAGACAAGAAAAGAATAGGATAAGGGATGGTACAAGGGCGTACCGTAGCTAGGGCTTGAAGGTGTACTGCGGGCTTGCGATAGAAGCGAAATGGGACCTCTTTGGGATTTGATCTCTATCAGCTAAATGCAAATAAATAAAATAAATTCCACGATAGGCTTGACTGCTTCATTCATAAAATAATTTTCTGAACCCTATACCGTGGATTGAAAGTGTAGTTTATTTAGATTTCAAGCAACTATTATGGAAGTTTTAACTGATTTTTCCAAACGGAATAAGTCGGAAACTCACCGGCACGTTTCCTTTTCTGAAATTGCCAAACTAAAAAAGTCTGAAACTCTCAAAACTGAACTCCAAAATCCAAATAACAAAGGCAGGTTATCATTGCTTGCCTAAAAGAAAGAAAATAAACTGAAACTACCGCCTTGTATAGAAAAACGGAAAAGATAGCAGAAAAATAGATCAATGGAAAATAAATATAAAACTCACCGGATAAGCTGAAGAGAGACGTGACGCCGGCGATGGACACTGGGACTGTGGACGACCTTCTGAAAGCTAATGTCAGGGTACAGCACCGAGTTCGGGAGAGGAACAGCGGCTGTGTGAGCGTTTGTTATTCCAGGCAATTAGGGCAAAAAGGGGCAAAATAAGAGTCCTAGGGGGGAAAATGACATAAATGCCCATCTCATGTAATTAGTTTTTTTTTTCAGGGGGGCAGTTGCCCCCTCTTCAGTTAACGTGGTTTCGCCAGTGCCCACAGCAAGTTGCAGCCTCTTTAAAAATAGGACATTGACAAAAAACCCCTGAATCAGCAAATACCCCAAAAAACCAGGGAAAAGCCCCACTAGAATAAACAGACGGCCCAAGAAAAACAACATGATGAGGAAAGTCACACAGCAACCAGCACCAACAGCCAAAAGATCAACCAGATTTGATGTAACGTAAACCAATTTTGTCTAGTTTAACCAACCCCTTCAATAGATGCAACAAATTGTCATTACCAATTTCCATATCCTCCTCTAGCCTACTACCAATTTTGGCCAGGCAATCAGCACAAGCGTTACCCTCCCTTAAGACATGATTCATCGTATAATTGAGAGTATAGAGAGCTATACAAATTTTCCTAATAAGAAAGAAGAACTGAGGACAGAACACATCCTCATTTTTAATGATTTGAATTAAAATTAAAGCATCCACCTCAATCTGAATATTAACATAACCTCTATTATTGCAGATAACAAGCCCTTTAAATAAGCTCATCAATTCAGCAAAAATGACTTTACACGGATATGAAGGGCCCGCAAAAGCCACAATTAGTTCACGAAAACTATCACGAATAATACCTCCCATACCCGCAACAGAAGTCCCAACATAACCATCAGTATTAAGTTTAAGAGAAGAAGGCAAAGGTTTTAACCATCTGACAACCCTATCATTTCTAACCAAATTTTCAGCATAGATAGGAATACCCAGTTTAACAGCCAAACCTTCACAATTCTTGAAATTCTTACTCGAAATAATTTTAACAGCAAACAGTTGAAGAAGTTTGTTATTAACATTAGAAATAGTACTCTTGGCAACCATTTTAACACCATTATGTTTAGCATCATTCCGAGCATTCTAAATAAACCACAAAATAAGAATGGAAAATAAATTTAAAATGTGACCTTTAGTATTAGTCATCCTTTCACTCAAAAGAGACATAAGTACATTACTAACAGAAGAAGGGTAAGTTTTGTTAAAAGTAATAGCATAATACCTCCAAACTTTTTGAGCAATACTACCATTGATAAAAACATGATTAATACTCTCAATATTAGAGCAACAATGAAATTTAGAAGGAAGATAAAAACCTTTATTCCAAAGATGAGAATCCACCGGCAGATAGCCTTTAATACATCTCCAAGCAAGAACATAGTAAGACATAGGAATATTGTTGTGCCAAATAGACTCATAAATAATAGAACTTTCCTTCTTAACTCTAAACACCTCCCACGCATTTTTAAGTTTAAAAAGACCATTAGTAGAGCTATTAAAAAGAATATAGTCATTATCAAGGATATGTAACGTAATACTCAAAATTTGATTCAAAATCTCATAAGGTAAAATCTCACTAAGCTTATTAACATTCCATTTCCTGTTCTCAATTAAGTGGTGAACCTTGGTAGAAATCAAAGTATGAGTACTATCAATAGAACCATTTCCTAACCAATTATCTTGCCAGAAAAACACATCACCTTTGCCTAAGCCCCATTGGATGAATTGGTCCACTTCCCAACTAATATTGCATAAACGTTTCCAAACCAAAGAGTCAGCTCTTTTGAATTTACATAATAAAGGATGCACCTATTTGAAATACTTAACATGCATAAATCGAGCCCATAAATTGATTTTAGCTCTAAAAGAGAACCATAACTTTTGAGAGAAAGCCCTAACCATGTCCAAAATATTCTTACAACCTAAACCACCTTCATTTAAAGGCCCACACATATTATACCAAGAAGCCTAATAAATATAGTAAGTACTATTCTTAGCCCCCCATAAGAACTTATTAATCAGTCTCTCCAATCTAAGACAAATAGAAGGAGCAGGGTGGAGAGTGTGAAAAATGAAAATGGGAATAGAATTTAAAACATGTTTAATAAGTACAAGTCTAACAGCAAAAGATAGAAAATTTGAAGACCAATTAGCAATTTTTCTTTGAAAAATGTAAAAATATCCTCAAAGATAGAACCTTTTTTCCTACCTTTAAATATAGGGGTACCCAAGTACTTAATAGGCAAGGAAGTGCAATTAAAATCACATATCCTTTTAATGTCATTGATCCTCCCTTGATTAGCAGAATTCAAAATAATGAAATTGCTTTTATTCTTATTGATAGAAAGCCCACTCATATTCTAAAAATCATTTAAGTGCTTAACTAAAAATCTAATATTATTCAAAGAACTATTAGCAAAAATGATAAAATCATTAGCAAAACTAAGATGTGTAATAGGGATATCACCCATAGTACGATAAAAGAGCTTAGGATGCCTTTTATATAATTCCTCCAGACCCCTGGACAAATAGTCAACAACAATAATGAACAAAGCAGGGGATAAAGGACCACCTTGATGCAAGCCTTAGTAGAATTAAAGAAGCCATGACTCCTACCATTAATGATAACAGAAAAAAATCAACGCTCAATACTATTTTTAATCAGAGAAATAATATCTTGACTAAAACCAAATAAAGATAACAGTTTCTATAAAAAAATTCCAACTCAGGTTATCATATGCCTTAGTAATGAAGTTTAAAAATAATGTTACCCCCTTTAACTTTAGCGTTAATATCATGAGTAATTTCTTGAGCGAGCAGAATATTATCAAAAATACTCCTACCTTTAACAAAACAAGTTTGGTTCTGGTAAATAATTCTAGGTAAGATATTAACAAGTCTGGTAGCAATGATTTGAGAAATAAGCTTTTTGAGAAAAGAATATAAACTAATAGGTCTAAAATCATTCCAATTATTGGTACTATCCTTTTTGGAAATTAAGATAATATTAGTAGAAGAGAAAAAATTAATGTAAGGTTTACCCGAAAAAATTTAGTGACAGCTTCCATAATATCCAACTTGGTAAAATTCCAAGTTTTAACAAAAAATTTAGTTGTAAAGCCATCAGGACCAGCAACAGATTCACCGTTCATCTCCTGCATAATGTTCTAGACATCCTCCTCAGACGGAGAAAGAGTCAGCATAAGATTATCATTTTCCGTAATACAGCAAGGAACAGTATGAGGATTAACAATAGGGCACGGTTGGAAATTTTTATTGAAAATGTTTTTAAAATGTTCCAAGAATTTAAAATAGAATCCTCATCCTCCAAGACCCTTCCCTCATTACTAAGAATTTTAAAAATGTGGTTCCTAACTTTTTTCTTGTTAGCC